GATGAGATATCTATTATTTTTCGTAAGTATAAAGGTTCAATCTTCCACCTTACATTTGTTGGGGAGGGAAAAACTTTACTCATTGTCACTGCCATCTCGTTGTTAGGAGCGTTTAAGAAAATTCAATAACTCAAAAACTCTAATCAACCCATATAGATTGGATTAAGTTCCAATAAACTAAAACTTAATGAATTGGGCCAGGTTTAACTTGAATATGTTTATCAATACTTACAAATATGTTGGGTCATTTGATAGGATACATGATTGAAACCTTGAGTTCCATACTAAATGAAGATGGGGATATAGAGATTGTGAAATATGAGAGATTACCGGTTGCACCCAAAGGATGTCCAAGAGCCATTGCACCGCCATTAACATTCACCTTTTCAGTATCAAGCTTTAGTTCCTTACAGCAATACACATACTGAGATGCAAATGCCTGCCAAATCCCAAAACCTTTTTAACATTATAATTAAACAAATCTTCCAAAGTTGTGGTATCAACAACCAAGCGATGGTTTATGTGTTTTCCTTCTTTTTTAGTTTCTGAAATTTATATACAACTTTAAACAATGTCTCTAAAGGAGAATTAAGAAATAGGAACGTTGTCCACCACAGCCGTCTCTCTAAAAATGTTAATTATAAGTCATAGAATATTATATATAATTTTTATTCTTAAGCATCAAGAAAGAGTGAAGAAAAGTACCTCATTAATTTCAAAAAGGTCAATATCTTTAAGAGAGAGACCAGCAGATTTGACAGCGGCTGGAATTGCAACAGCTGGTCCAATTCCCATTACTGCTGGATCCACACCAACTGCTGAAAAACTCCTGCATGCATTTCCAAAAAGAAAAATTAACTCCAAAATATAGAAAATTTTCAAGAAATGAAGATCAAATTCTTTATTCTACCGCTCACATATGGTTTAAACCAAGGTGCTCTCAAGCAAAGATTCTGAGCATGACTTTCAAACAAATTCTATTTAAACGTGTGACGAAGTGACTTAGTGAGTAGAGGGAACTGAATTCTGCCTATACCTTCACTACCTACTTGTTCTAGTCCTAACGCTAGTGGTCAAGATTGCGAGTACCCAAGGCAACATGAACCATTTTTTAGTACTACAAGAATCTCTTTTTTATAAACACTACAATGCTTGGATTGGATTGCAAAAATATAGTTCTTTCGATTCGAAGATTCCCACTTTTTATACTTCTTCAAATGAGAAAGATCTGATCATTTTGCACAGTGAGCTCTATTGGGTCAACAATGTTAAGGAAATGGACATACCTGAAGATTCCAAGAATAGGCAGTCCCTTCTGGATAGCAACGCTTCTTTTCATGAGGAGAACTGCAGCAGCTCCATCACTAACTTGACTAGAATTCCCTATAAGAATAGAGCATTGGTTTAAGCCATAATCCCATTGTTGACAAACATAATACCAAACCAAACTGTATGAAAGTAAAACCTGCTGTTGTGCAGCCATCTCTCTTGAATGCTGGCTTCAGCTTCGCCAAAGCTTCCATGTTTGTGTTGGGCCGAATGCCCTCGTCCACAGATACAATCACAGCCTTCGCAACGCCGGATTTTGGGTCGATGATCTTTGGATTATGGTGGAAAATTTGTAAGTGACCAAGAAAACAAAATGAATGCACAGTTTTTAGCCATTAAAGAAGTCATTCTGCAATTACCTTTGTGGGAACAGGGATGATCTCATCTTTGAATTTACCAGATGAACTTGCTGCAGCAGCACGTCTATGTGATTCAACCTGTTGAAATCACTCCTATGTTGAATTTTCACTAAAGTTTTATAAAAAAAAATCTAAGTTAAAAGGCAGTGAACTTACAGCAGCCTGGTCTTGTTCTTCCCTACTCACACCATATTTTTGGGCTACATTTTCAGAAGTGATGCCCATAGGAAGCATACAATCTCGAGCTTGTTGGAAGGCATTTACCTATTAACAACTTTTATCAGATAAAACTTAAGAAAACAAGGTAAATCAGCAAGTTCATTGAAGGTGTAAAATGGAAAATATACTTTGGGATTGTTGCTAACAGGAAATTCAATGTTATCAATAGACATGCACTCCAACCCAGCTGCAATGCCTGCATTGCAAGACGGATCTTGTTAATGTCAAATGTTCAACAATGTTACAACTTTTTTCTCTTCCCTTTCAGATTCTTGAATTCAATTGACCATACCGATATCATAGTATCCAACTTTAATGGCAGCAGCGACATCAGCAACAGCTTGAAGGCTCGACGAGCACTGTCGGTTGACAGTTCTTATGCTCACCGTATCTGATGCATCAGAAACAAAACATCCAAATCATAAGTCAAATGGTTGTGGAAAATGGGATTTTGGGCTATCAAATCCCATAAAGATGAAGCTATCTCTCTATTCACAGTTCATTCTTATAACATACATAACTCTCATGGTTTCATGGATTGGTAACTGGAAGAACACTCCAAGTTTGGATCAAAACTTATGAGAGAAATTGAAAAGGTTTCTATGTGAAACAAAACATAGGAAGGAGAGATTTTGTTTTGTACCAGGGAAGCCAGCATAGAAAGCAGCCATCCTGCATTCAGAGGCTCTCACAGAGCCAGGAGCCAAAACTGTGCCAACTACTATATCACCAACTTCCCTTGGATTCAAATTTGTTCTCTCAATCACAGCCTACATCATCAACCAATTTTTCAGATAATTTATAAACATAAGAACAAGAAACAAAGTATGACCAAAAAGTTGATCATTTGGTACACCTTATTTGGGACTAAACAAGCCAAAGAGTTGTAATAATTGAGCAGAATAGAAACATAAATGAATGAATCAATCAAACCTTAAGAACAGATGCAAGAAGATCATCTGCCGGAGTATCCTTGAAACCCCCTCTTTTTGCTCTGCAAAATGCTGTTCGATATGCTCTGTTTTACATTTTTTTACAGCAGGAGATTATCATAGACAACAATGAGCTAACTAAGCCACTTCAGTCAAATTAAGAGATAAGGATGAACAGACAAAACTTACGCTACAATGACAATATCATCCCCAAACGCCGCCGTCCTATGGTAAGAATGTGAAGCACTTTCTCCAGCAGCACACACAGAAGCCTATCCATACCCCAATCAAAAACAAGCTCAAACAAAAAGAAAAAATGCAGAGTAAGGAAGAAAATCAAGAACAATCCATTTCAAAAACCAAACAAAGCTCCAAAATCGACCTCAGGAAATCACAAACAGAGGAACTACAAAGTGGGGATTAATACATACAGAAAGCGAAGCAGATTCAGACTCAGAAGACGACGGCGACGATAGCCTGGGTTTCAAGTGTTGAAGAAGAATCCTCTGCCTGTTGAATGCCTTCTCCATTTCTCACTCTCTCGCTCTTCAATGGCGGTATTAATCGGTTCAATTCCAAATTCATGGGTTCAAAAGAAGATGAATCTCGTAAATAAATAGAATGGAAAGAAATCATGTGGAAATTGGGACTGAAATTGCGATGAACTTTAAGCAGAATTTCTCAGCAGCGGTCCAAGTCTACCCCATAGACTAAACGCCGAAGTCTCGATGAAAGTATCCATGAAAATCGTGGAAATTGACTCTGCTTTTTGTTCGATCCACCATGGCCACAGCTGTGGTAGTTACAATTTTTGTTGTTTCATGGATTTGGGTAGTTAGGTTGGAACGCTCACACATAATCAAACCTAAACCCAAAATTTCGTCAATTTTTTATAAATATTTTAAAAAACAAAAGAAAATAATAAAATAAATATTATAATCCCGACATTCTTCTACATTCCCTATCGATAATATTGTTTATTTACAGCTTTATAAGAGTGAAAATTATTTTAATAGACCAACGTGCATTATTTCAAATTACAGGAGGTCACGTGACACAGAATTATTTTAAATTAAACTACCTTAAATTTTGAATTTTTATTATTAAGTTACCGAAAATTAAGATACATTTTTTTAGTACAAATAGTATCGGGAATTCATTTTATTCATCAACCTCGTGAGAAAGGGTTGCACGTGGTAGTTGATTGTTGTCCGGGTTGGGGTTAATGTGGCAAATTGGTTGGTGTAATTTAATGGAGAACTAACTTCATTAAATAGCATAGTTTTTATCACGAACTTCAATGATGTTGTACGATAACTATTTAAAAAATAATAAAAAATGTATAACAATAAATTTAAAATTACGAATAATTATTATCTATATCAACAAATGTACCGATAGCTGTCATATAAATTTTAATTAATATTCTTATTTATTTTAAAAAATACACTTTTATTTTTTTAAAATTTTTATTAATATTTTGTTAACTTTTTTAAAAATATTATTATTACAGTATTAATCCGTATATTTTTATAAATAATAGTTTAAAAATTTATTACCGTCAATATATGACGAAATTTGTTTATCTACACTTCACAGATTATTTTTAAAGTTTATAATGTTACTTTTGAAATTTTATGAATATTTTTAAAATATAGTATATGTTCCTATAGACTTTTGGTTAATTTTAGGTTACTATAGGTTTGATGATATGATGTCTTAATTGATTGAGCTATATTCATGTTGATTTCTTTCAGATTTCTTATTCGTTAACGTGGTAATATGTAAGAATTGAAGTCACTCATGCGGTCATGCGGTCAAAATATACCTAATGAATCTTTTGGTCGATGATATAATAAATTAATTGGAATAAAGTAGAAAGGCAAGCGACCAAATATGACGTGGGAAAAGGAAAAAGGAAAAAAAAAAAAAGAAAAGAAGCGGACGAAATCACGTGCCAACTGCCACGTATCAAACCGCCGTTACCAATTTACCTCATTAATTCCCACTTCCCGTCCGCCACCACAACTCAGTGAACATAAAAGAAGGAAAGATTCTTCTTCTCGACTCAATTGTTGGATCAACTTCCCGACGCATTTCCCGGCACCGACGCGATGGCGGGGACGCTCGAGAGGCATCCGAGCCCGTCCCTGAGTTCCTCCGAAGTTGATGTTAGTATCGAGAATGATGCGAGGAGGGAGAATGGTAGTGATAGTGGTAGTAATGGAATGGTGAGCAGGGAAGTCCGAATTGAAGACGGTGTTGCTGCGAAAACTAGTGGTGAAGATGACTCTCCAGGTTTGTAGGTCGTTGCTGTTGCAATATCTTCTGCTGCTTGCTTGTTTTGTGGTTTCTGTTTTGTTTGCTCAGTGTTGCTTGCTTGGACTCTGCTGATGGATCTGTTTGTTCTTTTCGTCGGTTAGGACTCTATGATTTTTAATTGATGTTGGATGTTGGCCGTAATCTTGGTTAAAGGTTGGGAGTGAACTCTCGTGGTTTTGTTTGACTCTGTTGGTTCATGTGCATTGCTTGTTTTACTTTACGAATCTCGTTGCTATTGTATTCCGGTTTAATTGCGTCTTCTCCCATTGCTGTTTTTCTCTGATCCATTTACCAATTATAATTCAACTGCTGCTATCACCCAACGGAGCTCAGAATGTCGCGATCTGTTGCAGTTGAACGAGGATATCAATCATCTATCCCCAATTTTCTCCATCTATTTGTTGAACATTTGAACTGACTTTAATAATAGCATTTTATATATTAGTGAGAAGCTTATTTGATTTTAGTTTATTTGGTAGAGCGACAGAAACTGATAAGAGGGAATGAAAATACTATTTTGGATGGAAATCTGAATTTGATTCAAGCATCAAATTAATGGGTCTAGCTATTGACTCGGTGGGTCCTGAGATGAATGTAACTTGACTTACATCGATATTGAAGAATTCATGTGAATGCAAGAAACTAGATAGGGAGCTTAAAGTTTTCAAGGGGTTGTAGCTAATCTTCACATACCTTGGCGCCTCATACCTTCAAAGGATTACAAGCCTCCTATACACTACTTGGCTAAAGAGAAAAATGGAGGTTGAGGCTCCATGATTCGGTTGCCTCTTGATTGACTAATGTGTCATGCTGTGTGGAGCTAGCGTTGCTGCCACCTAACCCTCTTGTTGGATTGGAACGGATGTACACCCGTGACCTCCCTCAAGTTGGATAGAGGGTGGGATGGTGAGTCAAGCTTGAGTAGGGCTTGTTTTGACAACACTTGCTCATGGCTGTTTTGTTGCTCGATTTTTTTAAAAACTACTCTCTGAGTAATATTTGTGCTATTTGGAGATGATTTTTTTTATCCCCACCTAGCGATTTGTAAATTTTATTACATTAAGCAATTGATTCTAAAGAACGTAAGAAATAAAGTTACCAGATTATGAAAGGATGCATCCTTTTCAAGATAAACTACTAAAAGGTTTATGACTAGGCGAGATGGGATCTTTTTTTTTTTTTTTTTTTTTTTTTGACAAGATATCATGAAAAAAAGGCTTTGATTCATTTTTTTTCCCTTTTAAACGAGAAACCAAACTTTTATTGATTAAAAATAAATAGAAGGAAAGAATACAAGTGCACAAGAAAATAAAGCCTAAAAAAGGAGCCAAACTACAAAAAGGGGCTCCAATCAAATAATATAAGACTTAAATGGTAGTTAGAATATAACTTAATTATCAAAGCTCAATGAGAAACATAGAATCTAACAAGGGACCAAACATCACTTGAAGAAACATTGGAAAAAAAAAAGGTTTTGGTTTCAAATGAAGAACATAGGTGGCAAACTGTTTGAGGTCAACTATTTTGTTGGAAGATATGGGGTGGCACGTTTTAACACTTCTATTTGGCTCTTGATTCAAATTTATTTTTGGAAAATCTTGGTTGAAATGCTTCGATATTGCAAAGCTAAAGGCTTTTCATTGGTGTTCTTATTCTAAACTTTTCAGGTCTTATTCTCCTTGTGATATTTGTATTAATCGGGTTGCTTTTATTCACTCTTCATAAGCTTCTTTATATTTGTGGTTCTTATTTTATTTTATTTTTCACTCTATGAGTTTGGTGTCTTTGAGCACGTTATCCTTTTTTTATTAATCAATGAATATTTGTTTCTTGTTAAAAAAATTATAATTAATTCAAATTTATTATGTAAACATCTTTTGTATATTTTTTATTATTAATAGTTGGATCTTTTTGTAAAGTCTTTGTACACCACTTATTATCTTCCTAATGAATTTTGGTTTTTTATCAAATTGAGAAAAAACAAGTTAAAATTAGCCTGGTGATAACCCTACCCAAGATTAGAGTGATGTTGAAATAGTTAAAATTACTCTCAAACGTGTATTTAATTATCCAAAATAACTTTAATCTTTGGTTTTACACTTCTAACCACGATTTACATATCATTAAAATTGACTTTGGATGATTTAGTACATGTTTGAGAATGACTTTAAATATGACAAAAGTGATTTTACAATTTCAAAATCACTCCCTAACATGCCATAAGTTTCTTGAAGGAGGAATATCCAAGGTATTTTGACTTGGCCATGGATAGAAGGAAGGATCACCCAAAGGAGGTTTTAACTCTCTTCAAAATCACTTATTAGTAACCTTGCATCGATTGGGATCAAAGGAAAGGAGGTCCTCTACTGCTCCATTTGGAATGGTTTTTATCCATAAAAAGGTGAAAATTTTCCTATGGCTGCTTAGTCACTCATGCTTAAACAAAAGACAAGTTGTAAAGAAAGCTCCCTGGTTTTTTTTTTTTTTTTTTTTTTGCCTATCTCCCAGCTGCTGCTCTAACTTTAAAAGTGATGCTGAGTCTCTCATCCGCTTATTCAGCAACTGCTCATTTTCCACAACCTTTGGAACTATTATCTATATCTAATGTTTTGGGGCGGTTGCTAGTCCATCCAGGGGAGATTCATTCCCACCTTGCCCTAGTCTTCACTGATCGTCCTATTACCAAAGATAAGGAGATTCTATGGCTTTGCTTCACTAGAGCTTTCTACTGACCATATGACTCGAAGGGAATCAGTGTCTATTCAATGACAAAGAGAATAGCTATGATGCCTTTCTTGAACCTGTTTCTTTTATGGCTCTTACTTGGTGTAAATTAACCTCCTTTTGTAGGTGTCCGTCACTAGACCTTTTTTGTAATTACGAGCTTGGTTTGATTTTGCTAGACCGGAGTCTCTCTGTGTAGTTCTTGGGACTCCTTTGTGTTGGGCTTTGACTTTTTTGTATGCCTTGTATTTTCTTTCATGTTTCTCAATGAAAGTTTGGTTTCTTAAAAAAACAAAGATATTTACTGCTTTACCACTCTTTTGTAGAATTTTTGTATGGGCTTGGCTTGTGTAATTTATCTCATCAATGAAATGATCTGCTTCTTTACAAAGTATTTTTTTTTAGAAAGAATTATTCTCAAGTTTCTCTTCCATCAATTAGAGAGAAGCTTTTTGGACAGGGATTTTTCCGATTGAATTTCTTTGTTCTCTCATTGCGGTAGCTTTTTTTTTTTTTTTTTTTCTTTTCTCTCTCTCTCAAGGCAGTGGTACTAGAGCCTAGCATCTTGAAAAATCAAGGTTTCTTTCAATCAAATCTCTGTTTTCCTTTCTTTTCCTAGGTCATAAAGTTGTCCAGCCGATTTTTTGTAAAATATTGTGGAAAGCTTCCATTCCAAAAACATGTGAAGTGTTTTTATGGGTTATTTGTTTAGGTGGGATCAACACCAGTGACAAGGTGCAACCAGAGAATCTGTGTATTTCCTCCCAACGGAATTCATGCTTTTCATTTTTACTTTTGGGAGGAGCAAAATCACTTGTTTCTCTTTTGTATCTCTGTTGAGGACTTGTAGTGCAAATTTTCGGTATCTTCACTGATTATTAGCCACCATCCTGCTTCCAAGAATTGTGAAAAATTGGCTTCTCTTAGCCTTTGTGATCATGGCTTACAAGATAAAGCCAAGGTTTTGGGGCACAAAATCTTTTTTTGTCTATCCTTCGTGAATTGGGAGTCATGAACTGAGAGAAACAAAAGAACTTTGTGGTGTCTCGGGTTTAAATTTGTTTCTTTTTTCTTTTTGGTGATCATTCCCTCAACAATGTAGTTTTCACTGGAGACGTCTATTGAAAAGCAACTTCTTATTTTTCATCCTAATGAAATATCATTTCTTACTGAAAATGAGATGCCCAAGGACTGATTGCTGGTGAATGTGGGATTGTATGTCCATTTTGAATTTGAGATTTCAAGTCATGGTTCATGAACTACGTGCTAGGGACAAATGCCCAAGAACAACTTGACAGTATATACATACCTTGGTTGGTATTTTGCTTTTAAAGTACAGTGCGGGTCGTATCTTTCTCTCAGTGGCTTTTGACAGAAAGAACTTTTTGTTATTTATATGCACAGAACAACTGTCTCTGAGATATACACCGTGATAAGGAGGATAAAAAGAAAAAACGAGGGTTGGTGCCAAATATTTACATGGACAAGACTAATGGTGATATACAATTTTATTATTAATCAACCAAATGGTCAAGTAAATAACAAAGGGGTTAAAGTGAATGAGTTCAAGTTATGGTGGCCGCCCAAATAAGGATTTAATGTCCTATGAGTTATCTTGACAACAAAATGTGGTAGGGCTAGACAATTGTCTCGTAAAAATCGTTGAGGTGCATGGAATCGTGGAAATTAAAAAAAAAAAAAAAATTGTGATTATCAATCTATAGTTGTGGCTTATTCAATTGTATTAAAGTTAGATTAGAAAGTGGCTTCTTCTATAATCTCCACTCTCTATGGTCACCCCTTTAAACGGGAGAAGTAGGCTCTTTTACAAACTTCAACTGCTCTTTTATTGAAAATTGGGTTAGGAAGGAATTACAGAATTTTTGGTGATTCCATGAGTCTTTTGGTAGTTTTTCGAACTCTGTAATTATCCTTTAGTTCGTGGTGTAATTGTTACCCTTCCTTTTCCAACTATGCCTTAGCATTCTTTTGGTCAAGTGGAAAGCTTTTTGTAGTCCGTTGTCTTAGGAACCTTTCCCCATTTGTATTGTAGATAGATGGCTTGAAACTTTTAAGACTTTTTTGTGATTGCGTACCTTTATTATTTAATTTCAGTTGATCAGAAAATAGAACTATTATAGTTATAAAAACACTGATTAGTCTATCATTTTATTGATATAGCATTTTCCCGTCCATGGTGTCTCTTACAACTTTTTACTTATTATAAGTATGTCATGTTCATCCAAATACCGCACTACGGGAGAAACTATGCTTTGACGTTAATTTTATTTCCAGAATCAAAATTGATTAAATGACTAGCATAGCTGAATTTTCTTTTCATTCAGATATCTCTGGCAAGACTCTTCTTAAAGTCAACACCATGCCAGTACAAACATCAAATGTTGACCGGTCGGAGTCTGATTTGAGCCAGCATAAATTAGAAAGATCGAAGACTGAGGCGTCAAAACATAAGTTTCTTGCTGAAGAGGCAGCTAAAATTTTTGATGACAAGGTTCCTGTTCATATGAAGGTATAATACTGCAGAAGCAAATTATTTTTCCTAACGTAAGGTATAATTCAGATTACAATTTAGTCCTGCACTGCTGTACTTGGATGTTTTATATTCTTTTCTGTTCCATTCTTTTAATTAGAAGTCCCAGCATTTTAATTTCCTCTATATTTTTCTCAAAACATAATTTCATTTAGATATCTCTTGCTTAGTTATATTTGAATATTTTTTTTTTTTGGTGCAAACGTTGAATTTTAATAATTTTCTTGAGTTTAGCAACATTTGAGGGCGGGATGAGGTGATTCAAACCTCTGACCTTTTGGTCAAGGATATATGTCAATTACGGCTGAACAATGCAACCAATGAATTTTAATTAATGCTTTGTAAATAGGCAATTTCTTGCCAGTTTGTGCATAGTTCTTGGATAAGACACCCATTACTATTCCGAATGTTGATGGTTCGACTCTCAACCTTTGCAATTGTTGAACTCAAAATAGGCCATTTGCATGAAGGAGTTCAATCTAGAAAAAATAAACAGCAACAACCTAATGGCCGGGGAAAGGCCCCCCCCACCCCCCGCCCCCCAAAAAAAAAGAAAAAGAAAAAAAAAAAGGCACACCAAACGAGCCAGTCACCAAGAGGCTGTAGCTATAAAAGAATTGTGTAAAGAAATCAACCAAGAAGCCATATTTTGTACATAGTTACAAATATACTCAAAACGTAAGGTCTTATCTTCAAAATCTCTAGCATTCCTTTCCTTTCACGAGTGTCACAAAAGTGCTAAAGGCGCAACTACCCACCTCCTTGGCTTTACCCCTCAAATTTCAAGCAGAAAGGCCTTCTGTAAGCCACTCATCCACCTTGTTAGGGAGGTTTGAATTTTGGATATGGCCTTTTCTTTTTGTTTGCCCACGCAATCATCAAGGAAGAAGGGTGGGGGTGGGGAAAAAAAACCAAAGTATGAATAGGACGAGAAACTGAAGACAGAGAAGGTGGTGGTGGGGAGGGGGAGTGAGATACTAAAGAGAGGATGAGAAATGGTAGGAAAAAGATGGCGGGGAAACGAAAATAGAATAAAAAAGACACATAATTAAATTTAAATATAAAATGACTAAAATTTGCCACATGATTTAGACTTGCACATGTCAATGAAGGCCTAGTAAGCCTTAATTGCCATGTCAAACCAATTCTGGCACAATGTAAAGCTATTTCTTAAACTTCAGGGATTAAATCATTTGAAACTTTAAGAACCAAATAAAATCAAATTCCAAATCTCAGGCACCAAAAGTGTAGTTCGCTCAAAATTTTATAAACAAACTTTTTAAACATAGGCTTACATTCATGATAATTAATGTAAGATTTCTAGAATAAGGTTTTCCTATACTAACTTCTTGAAATTGTACAGCGTAAATTTTTAAACAGAATAGCCACAGTGAAAGATGACGGAACAGTGGAATTTGAAGTCCCTGTAGACGTTGCACCCTCTCTTGGCATTAAACCAAAGGACCATCATAATATAATTGAAGAAGAACCTCTTGAAGCAACAGACCTCCAGGATATTCCACCTTTGCAAATAGTAATGCTTATTGTTGGCACACGTGGAGATGTACAGCCATTTATAGCAATTGGAAAGCGTCTACAGGTATGGAAACTTCTATGAATATTTCTTTAATCTTATTCACTAACTAAGTACTTTTAAACATGTTGGGAGCTCTTTAGTTTTCTCCCGGTGGGGGTTTTAATCACCTCTGACCTTTAGGTGGTTTCCTTTTGCTCCGTCTCACATTTGGAGTTTAATTGTTAAATGCCATAAAAGCTACCATGTTTCAAGTCTTTGCCTATTAAAGCTTAGCTTCGTTGGATAAATGTTTCGACGCTATTCTTCCAGATATTTGGTTGAAACAAATCAAAGAAATTTTGCGGGCAACTTCTTTTCGTTACAGACTGTTTTGATCTCATCAAGATTAAAGCCTCTCGCTGGAGGCTTTTTTTTTTTTTTCCTCTCGTTTGTCTTCTTTTCTTCATTAGTGAAACAATTACTCTTTTCTTCATTAATATAAAGGCCTGTTTCCTTAAAAAAAGAGCTGCTGAAAATCATTGCATAGCCTCAAGGGACTGCACCAACTGTCCTCCCAAAACCTAACGTGGCACCACATCCCAAATTAAAACCTGAGAACTAGGCTAAAATGCCAGCTTTGCAATGTGACTGCAGGGACTTGGACTGAAGAAAAGGGATTGGAACCTATAAAACTTCCATTTTTTTTATTTTGTTTTTGTATTTACTGACAATAACTTTATACCACAAGAAGTGGGCTTCTCTAGGAAGCCTCTATAACCAGTTTCAAAGTAGGCTTTACTTTCTTGCTTGTTATTGTCAATATTTTAATCCACATTTAGGTGGGTTCTCCCGTCCAATTTTGGTCCCTCCTAGAAGTTCCTTATTCAAATAATTTTGTGGAAGTTTTTTTTCTGAGATTCAGTTTCCTAATTGCTTGGCTGAATGATTGAGGGAGTTTAATACTCGCCTTGTGCCATGTTTGCAACTTTTAGCAGATGTGGTTGTAAAGAAATTGAAGGTTATACCAAGGGTAGAGACTTCATAAGAGGAAGAGATCTCATTATTTTTGTAGACTTTTCTTTTGTTTTTTGTTTTTTGTTTTAATCTATTTCATATGTAATTATCGTGTCTCTATGAATAGTCAATTTGAGGGTGGAGTTTTTTTGGAGGCTTCGTTTCCTTTTGTATATTTCATCTGACAGTGAAATTTGTTTCCTGTACAAAAAGATATAAAGAATGTGCAATCAATCATTTTTGTTTAATATATCTGAGATAGTATTTGTTCTCATGTGCAATGACAATATTTGCAGGATTATGGTCATCGTGTTAGACTTGCTACTCATTCAAATTTCAAGGAGTTTGTTTTAACTGCTGGGCTGGAGTTTTATGCTCTAGGTGGAGATCCTAAGATTCTTGCCGGCTGTAAGTTCACAATCTATATTAGTAAAGTTAAAACGGTTTATCTCATGCTTTAGTGTTGTTCTGAGCTCAAGCATGGATAAAGTAGAGGTCGTAGAATTAAATTTGGTAGTTGCTTCTTTCATTGTTCCCTTTTTCAGTAGTTTCTGACGAAGACATCATGTTATCCTTGCCAAGGATTTGTTATTTTTGTTCCTTCCCTTTTTTATAAAAAGAAAAGGAAAAAAAAAAAAAAAAAAGAGTAGACATGAAATTTCGTTCTCAACTATGACTGAGTTGGTAACAATTAATGTTTTATTTCTTACCAAAATAATCCAAGTGTGGGGATGTGTATTTATGCTTTGAAGTCATGAAAAGGTGGAATGAAGAAATCAAATATGAAAAAGAGGAAAAAGAAAAATGAATGAAAAGAGAATCTGATTCTATTTGTACTTCTATTTGTACTGTATTTGGGTTAATATGATATCTGGGAGGAGGTGTTGACGTCTAGAGAATGTGAATCTCTGCGCTTGGGAAGTTACGATTTGTAACAATTTTATCAGGGAAATTTCATCTATATTGAATATAGAACTATATTTTTTTTTAAAAAAATCGTTTTTGTTATATCTTTGTTTTTTTTTTCCTTTCGTATTTCTCAAGGAAAGCGCACCGATTTTATTTTTAATTGCTGGAGATGTATATTCCTTAAGGGTCTCTTTGTAATTCTATGTTTTTTTAAAAAAATTATTTTTTTCATTTCAATTTTTATCTTCACGGTTCATATTTGATTCATCATTAGAGCTATGAATCGTAGGAGCCTTTGGGTTGTCTATTAACAATTCTTTATTTGTATACGGTCTTTTTGAAGTTAAGTGTTGCTTTTACTGTCATGAGTTGCCTTTGCTTCTTAGTGTCAGTATATTATAATGACAAATATTTTGCCAACAGTCATTCAAATGATTGAATATTTATGTGATTTACTTATTTCTTCTATTAGAGAATTAAGACGATGGTTTTCATTTATTGTTCTGTGACCGATATATTACCCTTTTGAAATACAGACATGGTAAAAAACAAAGGCTTCTTGCCCTCGGGGCCTTCTGAAATACCTGTTCAAAGGAATCAAATGAAGGAAATCATTTATTCGCTTCTTCCAGCTTGCAAAGAACCTGATCCTGAAACTGGTATTTCATTTGTCGCAGAAGCGATCATTGCCAACCCACCAGCTTACGGTAAGACCTTGGTACTAACTATATTTTTTTCCCTTTAAAAGGAACAAACAAAGATCAAGGTTACATTGTTAGTCCGGCCTTGAATATCCAGGGTAATGTTCTAATACCTGGGCTCTGATGATGTCCACTATCTAGGTTCTTATGTTCACGACATTGCTGTTACATATGGTTTCTATTAAATGGAGTTCCTAGACAGAAGGAAAGGAAGAGAAGTAAAAAGGAAAGATTATAAGAGTGTAGTATTCACCCCGAGATAAAACTTCCTCTCGGATTTGTTATTCGACTATCCTTTTCCTTTATATTTGTGGAATGTATATTTGTTCACTTTACTTCTCTGTCATCGTGGGCAGATGAATTTTGGAATGAGGTTGCAAGATGCCGGCACAATTTTCCTTTTTCCTCTTTTTATTCTCACGTGACTTATCTAATTTGTTGTTTTGGTGAAGAAACTGTTTACAATAACTTCTTCAATGCTTCTGTAGGACATACTCATGTGGCAGAGGCACTTAAAATTCCAATTCACATATTTTTCACAATGCCGTGGACGTAAGTTTGCCCTAGACAATGCTCTTCTTCTTCTTCTTCTTCTTTTGTTTTGACAGTCTGAAGATACTATTATTGAGTTATATTGTGTGAATACCTGTATTTGTGCTATATGTTTTTGTAAGACAGTTCAAACTATTCATGTAACAACCTACCACGAATCACAGGTCGACGTACACTCAAGGGTAAAAAGGGCGGTAAAATTTTCTTTTGTAAAATGGGAGACACAAGGAATTTAGATTTAAATATGCATGCAAAACCAATATAAAAGTAGTTTAAAGGTAATATCCGCGGAGTCAAATCAAAACGGTTTACAAAAAATACATAAGTTTCAAGCAATAGCATTTAAAATAATAATAGAATGATAAGAAGGAAGACGACTCAATCTAAGGGGTACCCCTGCAACTGCACGGCTCCGCACGCTCTTGCCATCATCAGTGGTCTACATTCCATTTGAAAAAAATAGAATAACAAAGAATGAGTAGAAGTAAACAATCTCTACATTTAGGCTCTTGTCGGACTTAATGGGATATATGAAAACTTAGGCTAATGTATTCATAACTATTCCTAGCGATAGCTAAAGTGCGGCTTAATGTTTGTACCAAACTTTATAGGTCACTGTGTAACTAACCTTCCACATACCTCCTTTAAGGAGTATTCAATCCCTCTTAGGTTCACATTCGAGGGGTTTTATGTTTTCTCTTGGCTCTAGGTTTCATAAATGTCTAGGTCCTTAGTTAGTCTTGCGAAAAGTGCGCCTCGAGTCACTGTGGCCCATGGAAGGACCCTAGGGTAATACTCACAAGTCTAGTGAGGCCCTTTTTGCTCTAAACGGTGACTGTACTCTATGCATATTTGCTTACTGAGCTCTAATTAGTAGATTCTCCCTAGTGGTGCTAGACCACATCTACTTATTCCTAAGATCAGTAAACTACCTGTCACTATGCCCTTTCCAAACTGGAACAGTAAACTACCGGCTCATGTACCCTTATCGTGTTAGAATAGTAAAACTACCTGTCATTATGCCCTTTCCAGGCTGGGACAGTAAACTACCTGCTCATGTACCCTCGTCAGGTTAGAATAGTAAAACTACCTGTCTTAGATTCAGGCAAAAACAGTAAAACTACCTGTTATTACGCCGCTCAAGCTAGAACAGTAAAAAGGCCATGGCTCTCCCCACTAGGTACCACTCTAAGTACTAAGCCATGGGTAACAAGTAGACTCTATTCTCTGTTGGTTAGTTCACCCTATCCGTCCCTACAAGGTCCCTAGTCAACCCAAGGAGGCTATGGAACTCACAACTAGGTGCTAGGACCAAAATACGCGAAATAATAACTCATAGTCTATGGAAATCATAACTAGCATTCTATGACACAAACAATAAACCTGAGGTTATTCCAAATTTCTCCAAAATTCCTTAATATGCCATAAATTATGTCAAAACAATAAACCTGATGAGAATTGCTAGCTTCAAATTCGTTAAAGAGAAGGCTGAGAAATTAATCGTTGGCTGTATGGTCATCTTCTCCGACTTGTGTGCGTGCCGTTTTGCTTTCCTTTTTTTTTTTTTTTTTGATTTTCTTAAAATTCTAGGTGTTACAATTCATTATTTCGTCCTCTTGCCAGGCCAACAAGTGAATTTCCACATCCTTTATCACGTGTCAAGCAACAAGCTGGCTATCGGGTAATTCAATTATGCATTGCCTTTTGCCTAACACGCATGTGCACACACATCATATCAACTTTTTTTCTTTAACCTTCATCACATTTTAACCAAATTTAATTTGAGTTTTGACCTTTTGTAATTTTCAGCTCTCATATCAAATTGTAGATTCCTTAATTTGGCTTGGGATACGGGACATGATTAATGATCTTAGAAAGAAAAAGCTGAAGCTACGTCCAGTCACTTATTTAAGTGGTTCACATGCCTCTGAATCCAATGTGCCACATGGATATATATGGAGCCCACATCTTGTTCCTAAACCAAAAGGTTCGTTCTTGAATTGTTGAGCTGTTTCTACTATAAAGCCATATTAACAAGTTAATCTTTTAGAAATTTACCGTGTTGTTTTTATAGTAATATGGCAGCATGCTTGCAAGATCCGGAATTTTCCATTTTCAAAAGAATATAGAATGTGTCATTCCTGATCATCAAGCACATAGAATCTTATGATTCTAGCTTTAAAACTTGGGTTTCTTTCAGATTGGGGACCTAAGGTGGATGTGGTCGGATTTTGCTTCCTTGATCTTGCATCAAATTATGAACCTCCTGAGTCACTTGTAAATTGGCTTAAGGCTGGTGACAAGCCCATTTATATCGGTTTTGGTAGCCTTGTGAGTGCCTCATATTATTCCCTCCATTTATTTTGATATTTTAGCTTTTTAAAGTCTCTCCTTTCTCTGCATCGAAGGCTTCTCCTTTTAATGGGACAACTGGGGGGTGGGTAAGAGGTTGTAGATTTTTATTACATTTTTTTTGGCTGTGGAATGAAACTTCCATTAAGAATCAATTGCACAAAACTTCAAATAGATATCCTTCTAATCGTCAGAGCTCTTCCTCTATTAGTCTCTTTAGATCTAACACGCAGAAATGTTTGTAATCATTTGTCACATCCCTTTCTTCCTCCATCATTCTCTTTTACTTGGAGTCCAACGTTCTTAGCCATTATTTTGATGTTTTGATTGAACAATTATTTTAGGCTCTTTATTGTAGAGGATTTAACAGTATTTTGATTGATATTTCATTCTTCTCTGTAATCCCTCGTTGTTTCTTTTCATTCCTGTGTGAATTTTTGTATCTTTTAAACATTATTCCCTTTTCATTTTTTCAAACAAAATTTCATCTCTTAAAAATGAAATATAGATCCTTCCATGTGATGTCCGACCAATTTGGTAAAAATCATGGTGAAGATTGCAAATCATTTATTCATCTGGTGCCCTCTTCTTGGAAGATGCTTTTATTCCTTACCAAATGTTCCATAGTATAATAAGAAAGGCAGTGATTACTGTGTACAGAAGTTCAGTTTTCTCAAGAAAGGAATGGTAACCAAAACATTTGATTTGAAAAACTCTTCTCGATTATCATGAACGATCCAATTTGTGTTAGTGTCATTGAAAAGACTTCACCATCAATTATAAGGGGCGCTGGCACCCTTGCACATAATGCAACACCCTACTAGTAGAGTTAAGAAAAACTTGAACTCCTAGCTTGCACATATTGCACCATATTTATATCTCACTTTTGAATTGGAGTAACTGTTTTTTTTTTTTTTTTTGTTTGGATTTTGTTTTTTATATACACTTTTTACTCTTTTTGGCTTGGAATTTTGTATTACTTGTGTATACTTTCTATTCATAAGTTGTCCTTTTTATAAAAAAGCATGTTGCGCCATCATTTAGCCTACTTTCTTTTCCTTGCCCCGACCTATCCCTTTGTGAAAATCCTAATGAATTGTAGTTCGGAATCCTTTAATAATGTCATCTCTTTACTCACAAACACTTAAACCCTCAATCAATTTGAGAATCAGCCCTGAGGGAAGGTTGGATTCAGACTGCCTTTAATAATCAATGATGGAAAGTAAGAAAACATGTTCCTTTCTAAAGATTCAAACACTCAGCTAGTAAGTTGATCTGATCATTTTCACTGTTACTGAAATGTTTTGGGCCTGCAAGATAAGAATTGCAAAAATTGGTGAGGCTCATGGCTCTAAAAAGAGATGCAACGCACTACTTCTTATAAATCATCTAAACCTGAAAAATACTAGTTTAATGGGGCTACTTTTATTAATCATCAAAAATTTGAAAAATACAAGTTCAATGGGGCTATTTATAGCCTTTGGCCTACTCCCCTCCCGTACTAGGATTTTGGTTTCTAATTGTCCTACAACTCCTAATCAAATAATGATACCTATTGTTATTGCTTCTATGTCTAAAATAAGTAAATAATGATATGAAGCAAAATTTGGTCGGTCGCCATAGTCAAATCACTAAAATATCCCTAACTAAACAAATGTAGAAGGGTAAAATTGAAACTTATCTAAAAATGTAGTCTCTCATTTGTTGGTGATTAATGGAGTTAGATCCCATGCCTTATCTTAATTTCGTTGGCCACTCGTTCTTCCATTTGAAAGCTTCGTTATTTCTAAGAAACAGCCTTTTAGGTTAATGGTCTTCTCACAATCTTAAACTAGTTTTCATTGTTTTTCAGCCTGTCCAAGAGCCTGAAAAGATGACCAAAATAATTGTAGAAGCGCTGGAAATTACTGGGCAGAGAGGCATCATCAACAAAGGCTGGGGTGGTCTTGGAAATTGTAAGTTTTTGAATTTCTATCTCAGAATGTTCTAGTGACATCATTATGATTGTAATTGGTCCTATCTTTTCACTCCCCTCCCCTCCCCTGAAATTTTGTTGCCTGGAATTATAGCTTCTAGGAGATATATATTTTTCAGCTTAAATTTTATTTCTTTCCAGTGACAGAACCGAAGGACTTCGTATATTTATTAGACAATTGCCCTCATGATTGGCTATTCTTACGGTGCAAGGCTGTGGTGAGTATTTATAGTTGAGTTCATATACTTGTTCCTTTCATATCAGAACATTAATGTATCTCTGTACAAATAAGAGGTCTATTCAATGTAAGGGTTAAAGGTACATCTCCTTCACCTAAAGGAAGCCGAGAAAAGAAATAAATTCTGCTTCTTTCTATATATCTTGTTTCCCGTTTCTGTTCTCTTTTGTATTTAAAACTATGACTTAGAATATCTTCTACTTAAATAGTAACTTTAAACTGACTTTTGACCTTGATTCTCAAGTAGCAAAGGTTCGCAAATACTTCTGCAGTTTTTCATTATTTTCCATCGTGAATGGTTATTCAAGCACATTAACCAAATTTCTCTAACTAAAGGCTGGACGCCCTATGCTATGACTATTGCCATGTTGACTATGTTTTGTTCTGGTTTCTTTACCTGTTTCTTGCATCTGAAAGGGTTTCCCCCAACATTGTGTCTTGTTTACAGGTGCATCATGGAGGTGCTGGAACAACAGCTGCTGGACTAAAAGCTGCTGTAATAGCTTCACTTTGTAAAACTTGTCTTGTTTAGTACCACGTGATTGATTGTTGCCAACTCTCATCCTGCTCTTTCTCTCTTTCTCTGTTCATTCTAGTGTCCAACGGCGATTATTCCTTTCTTTGGAGATCAACCATTTTGGGGTGAACGGGTACATGCTAGAGGAGTTGGTCCTGCACCCATCCCAGTTGAAGAGTTCTCACTTAACAAGTTGGTTAATGCCATAAATTTCATGCTAGATCCAAAGGTAATTTTTTTGCAAGTTGAACGTGTGTAGAAATTATTGGGAAAAAAAATGCACCATTTCATCAAGTATTTGGTTCCTCCAAAATTAAAGACATGAGCCTGCCTATGCTTAATTAGGATATAAGGTATACTAGTATTAGTGAAGGAGCTGGTTGTGATGTTAGAGGTTGCTAGAGCAAAAAGAATAGGCGGTTATGAACGTGTGTGTATCCTATTCCAGGTCAAGCATTCTGCTGTGGAGCTTGCCAAGGCCATGGAGAATGAGGATGGAGTAGAAGGAGCTGTGAAAGCCTTCTTCAAGCATTATCGTAGTGGAAGAAAGACTGAACCCGAATCAGAGACAGAGGACTCGACCGTTTTCTCTATACGCCGATGTTTTGGTTGTTCTTGATTCTATGCTGTGGAAGGTATCCTCGATTTGTTTTACTAACAACAGATAATGGCATGTCCCTGCTATGAAACATGGGCAAATGTCCTGTGCGCTGATGTTTTTCTTTGTGGTCAATGTTTAGAATGTTGATAATCTCTATCTATGCTTTACACCTTTCTATTTGTTGTTATCAGTACTTTTTTTATGCAATTCACGTCTAGTTTTTTTCATTCCTTCATGACGTTCAAATGTATATTTTTTGAGCTCTGTTGATTTGATTGTAAAATGGATATGTGCAGGTTGTTTGATAGGTGATTTCTTTATAGAAGTTTAATATGAATTAACAACAAATAAAAAAGGAAAAAAAAAAAAAAAAGAAACCGACTCCATCAGCTCATAAAAGTTATGAAATATTGAAATAGACTTTTTTTGGTTTTATTATTAAGATTTGGCTGAATGAAAGTGATGCATGTTTAGAGAGTTTGGCGTACACGATATCAAATTATAGATTCTACTATAGTCATGTTAGCAAAAGTCATGTTTCATATGATTACATATTCGACTCCATCAGTAGAGTCATATACTTGGTATCTTTAATATTCAACATTTTTCAAAAACAAAAATTTTGTAATGACGTGCAAGCCGAGAAATTTTGATGGTTTGTTGAACGTGTATTGAGTTTGAAGTAAGCTTTAAGAAAGCATAACTTTCATGTTTATATTGTTTCCGTGTTTAAACTTGTGTTATCTCTCTATAGGTTTTTTTACAAGTTTCAACCGTTTTTTAGCATGTTAGTAATAACAATTTTAGTCGGTCTAAAAAAGTTAAATTGTTGAGGTCAAAATCATTATGAACTTAAGTTTGTGATCTACCGATGATAATATGAATTTTTTTCATAATTTTTTTTGAATGAGGCGATAATTTTCAACTTTTCCAACATTTTATTTCCTTTTCTAGATGAATTTTGAACCTTTAATTAGGAAAATTATCATTCATGTCTCTCATAGGTATTATTAATAATCTTGAAAATTTTAAAAATATTAGAAACTTGAATGACTAAATTAAAAAAACTTTTAATAGAAAGTTTCAAAAACCACTGGATTATCTTAATTAGCTTTTAAATATGGAAATTATTCACAAAAATTATTGTTACATTTATAATTATTTAGTTATCCTAATTTAATTTTTTTACTATTAAAAATTTTGGTTTTTCATGTTGGCATCGAATTAATTCAAGAAAATAAAAGAATGTGCATTGTTATATGTTTTAGGGGTGATTTTGTAATTTTCTTCATAGAAATTAATTTAAAAAAAAGGTAAAATAGAAATATTAGGTCTAATAAAATAAAATAATTTTACTCGTACTTTTGAATAATCTAATACCAGAATATTGTATAATATAAAGTTTGAAAAAAGAAAAGAAAAGAAAATTATATAATATTAAATAATTATGGAAGTATATATTTAATTTCGTTCAGGACCAGACACGGTGTACGGTCAGAGTACTCCGTATCAAAGTATTCTTTGACTGTTACAGTTTCGACTGCGATTTTCTCAAAATTTTCGTCGCTCGCTTCATCTTCTCCTCTGTGTTCTTTTCGACATCTCTCAAATTTTTCTGTCTGTAACCTTAGTCGCTTTGTTAGATCGCTTAATTACTGTAGATTGAGGAGAAATTTGCACCAATTGACCCTGCTTCTGCAAATTTACGGTAAGAGAAACTTTCCATCCTTCTGGGGTTCTTGAGATTTAGAGGGTTTTGGCTGTTATTTGGAAAAACCCTAGACTTGTTATTGGGGTTCTTTTGCGCTTTGCGCTCTATTTTGTGGTTCCGTAGACTTTTGTTGCTGAATTAGGGGGTGGGGCAATGTCATTGGATTTGCTGCTGAAGCCGTCGTGCAGTGGATGCGGATCCACGACGGAGTTGTATGGGAGCAATTGCAAGCACATGACGTTGTGCTTGAGATGTGGCAAAACTATGGCTGAGAATAAGGGCAAATGTTACGACTGTGGTGCTACTGTTACTCGCTTAATAAGAGTTCGTTCTTTACCTCGTCTTTCTTAAGGAGCATGATGATTTGAATGTGTTGAATTTGTACTCATGTGATTAGGATGTTTTTTTCCTTTCATTTATGACAGATTTAAGAATTTTCATAATAGCGTGGATTGAATATTCTCTTGCCTTCTCTTTCTGAGAGTGCATGATGAATTATATTTTAGGAATACAATGTTCGAGCGAGTTCAAGTAGTGACAAGAACTACTTCATTGGTCGGTTCATGAGTGGGCTGCCAAACTTTTCGAAGAAAAGAAATGCCGAGAATAAATGGTCTCTTTACAAGGAAGGTCTACAAGGACGCCAGCTTACTGATGCCCTGCGGGTACTGACTTAATTCCTATTTTGCTTCCTTTTAAGTTTGTACTTGGATAATTTTTCGTAAGCTATGATACAGGAGAGCTATTTTTCTTTAAGAAATTATAACTGTTGGGAGAACATCAGGAAAAAAAATTTGATGCTATCTTTCAAGTAAATGAAACGGGAACACACATTCTGTAACATGGATAAAGGGTCTCTTAAGAACATGGAGTCTGAGGAACACACATTCTGTAACTTGGTTCTTCTGCCACAGTAAAGTTCAGAAATGTTTGCTCTTTTTATTAGCTTGCACTTTTCTACTTTTCTACGACTTGCATATATGTTGGACCATGTAAGTATATATTTTGTTGTTCAATATTAATTTATTACATTGTGTTGATCATAATTCAGCTTTGACCTTGGAGATCCATTTTGTTTATTTCTTCTTGTATTTATTTGTTCTTATCTCGGACTTCAAGTTAGTTGTTCTGTGTCCTATTGATTTCTTTTTTTTAATAAATAATGTACTTATATCTTGTTTGCAATCGTGTCCTATTTGACCCTGATTAATTAGGATTCCATTAACACAGGAAAAGTACAAGAATAGACCCTGGCTCTTGGAAGATGAAACTGGTCAATCTCAATTCCAAGGACATCTTGAGGGTTCACAATCAGCAACATATTACTTGCTTGTATTGCAAGGAAAGGAATTTACTGCCATTCCTGCAGGTTCTTGGTATGGTTGATCTTTGAGTTAGTTTTTGTGAGTCAAGCTGTAGTCTTTTGTCTGTTTGTCGTAGTCTTCTTCCTACATGGTTTCTAAATTTACCAATTCTTTAAGGCTTCTATATTTTCTACTAGACAATAATGCGGATGGAAAATTTCAAGCCATCCATGGTAGTAAAGGGTTGATTGACCTCAATTTACAGGTACAACTTCAACAAAGTGGCACAGTATAAGCAACTTACATTGGAGGAGGCAGAAGAGAAAATGAAGAACCGAAAGAAGACAGCAGATGGATATGAAAGATGGATGATGAAAGCTGCAAGTAATGGTCCTGCGGCATTTGGTGAAGTTGAGAAGTTTGATGACAAAGATAGTGTTGGTGCTACTGGCAGGGGACGCAGAAAACCTACTAGTGACGAGAATGAAGGTAATGTTTCAGATAGGGGAGAAGAAGATGAAGAAGAAGAGGCAGCAAGGAAGAACAGATTGGGACTCAACAAAAAGGGTGGTGGTGATGATGATGATGAGGAAGGCCCTAGGGGAGGTAACCATGACTTGGATGATGATGATATCGAGAAAGGTTTATCTTTTTTCCTTTAAAGAAAAACAAAGAAATTTATTTTAGGTTAAGTGCTTTACACTGTCTTTGTCATCTCTAAAGAACGTCACTTGCAATCGGCTGATGTTTACTGAGGCCATCATATGGGCATATGGTTTAGAGTTGGGGATAGCAATAGATTAGCAAATTCTTTTGTTATTATCCAAGAAGATTCAAAATTTCCCATGTTTTTTTGATAATATGTTTTGGAAGGAAGCACTTTCTTGTATCCATGCAAGTGAGATTTCAGCTATTAATTCACATGATGAGTATTGAGGCCACTGTCATTGTTCCTCTATGTTAACTTGTCTGTCCAACCCTTTTAGGAGATGATTGGGAGCATGAAGAGATTTTTACCGATGATGATGAAACTACTGCTCCAGATCGTGAAGAAAGGGAGGATTTAGCCCCTGAAGTTCCAGCACCTCCAGAGATTAAACAGGTTGTCTAGCACTTAGACTATTATTATTTTTCCCCCATTTGACACATATGAGTAAGAGTTTCTCAATGTTTGATTTTCATTGAACTTTAAAATCACCTGGAGTTCTGGTTGACATCTTGTATTGTCTGAAGCTTTTCCTGAAAATATCAAGTCGAAAATATCATGTATGAGAGTCAGATGGTTTGTTTGTATGACTAAGCTTTTTAGTTCCTGTAAATTCTTTTCTCACTGTGCAGGATGAAGAAGACGAGGACGAAGAAAATGAAGGAGAGGGGGGGCTCAGCAAATCTGGGAAAGAGTTGAAGAAATTGCTTAGACGTACTGGGGGGCTTAATGATTCAGATGGAGAGGAGGAGGACGACGACGACGACGATGTAAGAACCTTTTGTGCTTCCTATGAACAGAACTTAACGGCATGATAAAAAATTTTAAACAAGGACCTATGAGCAGTCCTTTGCATGGTATCTGTGTGAATTGCACTCATACTGTCTGGATTTTGATGTTATTAAGCAGCCTTGTACTTTTATTTGCTTAGGCGGAAGAGGAGAGCGGTGGCACTCCAGTTGCGCCTTCAAAGCAGAAGGATGCAGTTAAAGAAGAAGCTGCAGCCAACAGTCCCTCAAAACCAGCTCCTTCTGGATCTGCTAAGGGAACCCCTTCTACTGCAAAGACAGCAAAGGGGAAAAGAAAAAATGGCGAGGATGTGAAACCATCCAGTGCACCTCCAAAGAAAATGAAAACAGAGACGGTATGTCGCGCACTATCCCATGGTTTAAGCTCTGAGGAAGTACTTTTCTTTGTATTAGAAGAAGTCATTCTTTGTCATGAACAAACATTTCTTGGGATGTTCAGGAATCAAAGTCGACAGATGAAGGCGTGTCTACTTCTAGAAGTACAGCCTCGAAAGGTGCAGCAGCATCAGTCAAAACAGAACCAGCATCCGCTTCTGGACCCGTTACCGAGGAAGAAATTAGGGCTGTTTTGCGACAAAGGACACCTGTAACTACACAGGATCTTGTTGCAAAATTCAAAGCAAGACTACGATCTCACGAGGTACGTTATGTCTTCATGACCTGTCTTACATAAACTGTTCTCGAAACAAGTTACAGTTCGAGTGATATATCCATCGCTTCCTTGACCAATAGCTTAAAACATGAAAGGATAATATTTAGAAGCTTGGACCATAGCAATTTTGTGATTCCTTGTTAACCCATTATGCAGGACAAGAATGCTTTTGCTGAAATACTGAGGAGAATTTCAAGGATTCAAAAGACGAATGGAGGACCAAGCTATGTTGTGTTGAGAAAACCTGAAGACTAGAAGAAGTAAGGACATGTTTCATCTTTGTGGGTTATGTGGTGCTTTATTATCTATTATTATCCATGCAAACAATAGATTTGTGTAAGAGATTGGTATATGTTGAGAAAGAAACAAAGAATTCTACAGGCCCTTTTTGTAAAACTAATTGTTGGTAGTGTTTGATGAAGATTCATATATGAATTACGATCCCTATCTTAGTCACGTGCTTTGTGAGATTAACGGTGGAATGATTGGCTTTATTTTGGTTGTAAAATCTAATCTGGAGTTAATACTTGCCCATAAATATGATCCTTATATTGGTCAAGATTTGAATGTTATCAGGATGAGTTTCGATTACTCCTACCAAACTTAGGTAAGAAACAAACAAGAGAGACAGAGAAACTTTTAAAGAACTTCAGAAGTACAACGCACATAGGAACTAAGACCAAGATTTCATCTTATGTTAGTTGAATGAAGCCTGGTTGTTTAGTGCTGAAATTTTGGGATGCGGACCAAGAGATCTCACATTGGTTGGAGTGCGTGTGAAATCTAATATTTGGATACGAGAACAAAACATCGTTCATAAGGGTATGAAACCTCTCTTTAACAGATGCATTTAGAACCGTGAAGCTGACGGTCATACGTAACGAGTCGTAGTGGTGCACTTGGATTTTTCTCCCTAACAGACAAGTTTTAAAACTGTGAGAATGACAGCCATATGTAACGGGTCGTAGTGGAGGGCTTGAATTTTCTCTCCCTAACAGGCATAACGGCGATATGTAATGGCCGAAACAAACAATATCTGTTAGTAGTAGGCTTGTATCAGAGTCAGACACTAGTCAGAAGAGGGCTAAACCCTCTTTGTAGTAGACGATTTTAAAACCCTGAGAGAAAGCTCGAAAGAGGACAATATAAGCTCAAAGAGGATAACATCTGCTAATGGGGTGGGCTTGAAAGGATACAATGTGGTTGAGTTCTAAAGTATTGATGAGAAGAAAGAGAGAAAGGGAAAGAAAGGCACGTGTAAGAAGAAGATAGGAGAGACAGGAAAGAAAGTTAAGCAATTGGAGGGATGATATGGGAGGTTCATATATCTGCCAGTATGAGCATGCAAGGAATGGGAGAAAAGTGACAAAGTTGCATCAGATTGGCGGTGGGGAACACCCATTTACTTACACCCTCTGCCCCCTTTTACTCCCATAACCATTTATAGATAAAAAAACACCATTCCAACAAATTTCTAGTACTCCCATAGTACCCTGCTACCACCCACTTGCATTACAGCCTCAAGAACACAAACCCAAAGTTCTAGAACAAAATGAAACAAAGCCAGATCTAAGTGATATCTATGATACATAACTTATCTCTAAATTGATATCATTTTTTGAACTGATGAACCCAAGTTTGGACTCAAAACACAGACAGACAGACAGACACACACACAATGGATGGATTGGGAAATGGAATCATTCTCTCTCTCTCTCTCTCTCTCTCTCTCTCTGTCTTATCTCTTCTGTTCCCAAGCCCATGCATCCATCTTTGCCACCAAAGCACTTCATTTAATAATTATTTATTATGCAACTTTGCACATTTTCCAACTCTCCTTTTAGAATTTAGCTTCTTACTTCAAACTGCCTCTTGCTGCAGCCTTCTTATACTCTTCACTCTTCCATTTCTCTTTATAATTCCCACTTCTTCTTCTTTCTTTCTTTGTTTCAAGCTTTTTGTTTCAGCCCATATGGAAGATGAAGAACAGCCTTTACAAGTTGCTGAATCCAGCAGTGTTGAAATGGAAGAAACCCCATCAAGAATCTTCCCTTGTTTGTTCTGTTCAAGGAAGTTTCAAACCTCTCAAGCTTTAGGAGGTCATCAAAATGCTCACAAGAAAGAGCGCACCGCCGTCAGGAAGGCCAAGCGGCTATCTGATTACTCGTCATCGTCTTCATCGTCATTGTCGTCACGGCCATTGTCGGTATTTGCAGGCAACCAGCAGCTTCATCATCCAGCTATATTGCCACATCCAGTGTACATTGCAGCTCATGGAGCTAATCTTCATTGTTTCCCCAATAACCAACAAGTGTTCTATGATGGCTTGGGAGTTGTTCCCAAGTTTGAGGACATGGTTTACTATGGTGGGGTTTGTTCATACAATAGATATCAATGTGGGGAAGATGAAGACCATGTGTTGAATTGGCAGAGAAGCATAAAGAAAGACAAGGAAAAAGAACAAAAACTTGATCTTTCTCTTCATTTATAGAACCTGCCTTGTAGTTGTGTTTTTTTTCTGCATTAGAGCTGCCTTTTACAAAGTTTTGATCATCATCAATAATCAACTAGTTCTTTTCTTTTAGTACTATATTATGTTTGGCTATGTTTTTGTTGTTGGGTCGGAAATTTCTATTTTGTTTTACTTTCGAGGTTGATTCAAGAAATGCATGAACCCGTAAATTTTTCTCTTTTTGAATGTGACGAAATGAGCTAGGGAGAAATCCTTTTAGGCATGTCTCCTGCGCTCTTGCACCATGTCCCTTTAAGATAATACGACTTTCATGATATGCAAAATAGCTGAGTGAATCATAGCTATTCGACAGTGAAGATGTGCTCGAGACTCTAAGAGAAAGCAAATGCTTTTTGGCTTTTTGGCTTTTTTTTTTTCTTTTTTTTTTTTCCAAGTCAAAACACTCCAAATTCAAAATTCAAAATATTTTAACCTATTAGTTTTTATTTTTTATTAAGATGAAAATTTAAACTATAGTTAATTTTTAGGAATAAATAAATATTTTTTAAAGCTAATAAATATTATAAATTTAATAATTTTAATATGAGGATCAATTGGGCCTCTTATTGGACACATTGAGAGGTTGGGCCACATTTTTTTATTTTGTTTTAACCTTCGAGCCCATAACCAAGAAAATGGGTTCCATTGTAGCCCAAATATCTCATTTGGGCCATTGGACTGAATGCTAAAAAAAGCCCATTTCTTTTCTGTCTTTGGGCTTAATCCAAAGCCCACTTCTCTCCCCCATTGTATTTTAATTCAAAATATCAACACTTTTAATTAATTTATACTTATAAAAATATTCTTCAAGCTCAACATTTTCACTTTTTTCCTTTGCACATTTGGCACCATATATAATTTAAATTTATTCAACGAAAAATGATCTGCCACGTCGTATTAGGTCATGTGCTCGAAAAGCTTTCAAATAGGTCATGAAGAGGTAACGAGAAGAGTCGAGCACCCCATGTTCAATTTGACACATGACTCAATGACCAACCGAATCGACCCATGTGTTCTATATTGTTGAGTTAAAACTAATGGTATGACAAAAAATTCTCCCTAAACAGCGGAACGTGTGTTTGATATAACAATAGACTGGTGTGCATTCTCAATGTGAGATTTACCTCAATTTAGTCTCTCGTGAAAAAACGTCAGGTATAGCTGTAGATGTCAGGTACATTCTTAAGATAATCGACCATTTCACTAATTATCAAATTCCTATTTATTTTATTTAACAAATAGTTATTAATAATTATTATTATATTACCCTTACCATGTTTGACTCATTTGAAACAATGTCAACAACTTACGTACATTTTTATCAATTCATATTAAAATTATTAATTAATTTAAACCACAAATTTCGCAGTGCCGCCCGCAGCCAATCAGTTGACCGAGTTCATTTTCTTTATTATTATTATTATTAAAATTAGTTATTTTACTTTTGTTTAATTTATGAATAAATAATTTATAATTCCTTCTCAATTTATTACTATCTTTTCCAACTTTGACCCTTAAATTTTAATAATTTATAATGTATTTTAAATTATTTGGCACTTATTATTCTAAAAAAATTTATTAATAAATTGTAATATAAAATATTTTTGCCAAAATACAGATAAAAAAAAAACGCTCATAACCTTCACGTAACAAGAACGACAGAATTTATGTGAGGAAGAAATAAGTAAAGAGAGATATTTCTATAACCCGACCGACTTGAACTAAGACTCCACGAATCAAGGCATATACGGAAGATGTCTTTCTTAGGTCGTTTTTTTCAGGTCAAACCATGCCCCGACCCACTCCACTGGGTTTAGCATTTTTTGATTTTATAAAGAATAATAATAACAATAATCCACGTCTAGAATATGTGTAATATTGTCTTAATTAAACGCTTCAATTATAATCCAATCACTATCCGTATTTAATAAAGTACAATTTTATAGAAAAATGTAATTAATTTGACACGTATAATAATGTATGGTTTAATAAAATAATTATTAATATAAAGTTTTAATTTGGATGGCGGTCGGTCCATGTGAAAATTATTTGTAACAACAGTGAGATAAGGCCACAAGATTCCTTTGTCACATGCTCTTACTTAGTGCTTTCTTGCATCCCTTCACGTAATCAAGATTCTTATAACATAAATATTTCCATAATTTTTTTTTTATAATATATACTATTTTTATCGTTTAAATTATTAATTTCAACAATGGTCGTTAATTATATTCTCACTATTTTTTTCTTAAATGATGTTATTATTTCTCTTCATCGACGAATTAAGCTATTTTCGTACAAATTTCATTTTAAAATCAAGAGTCCATAAACAACGATCTCTACGTGTATATATGGTTCTCTTTAGTCCGTTACAAATGATATCAAAACCTGATATCGAACGTTGGATCCTAAGAGGTGGATTGTGAGATCGAACGAAACATTTATTATAATGATGTGGAAACCTCTCCCTAATAAATGCGTTTTAAAACCGTGAAGTTGACAGCGATAAATAGCGGTTAAAAACGGACAATATGTTGGAAAAAATCATGTTTATTTATCGAATTAGACCACATCTATAATAATTATAATATTTTTTAAAATAAATTCACGAGACGGATAGAAACAGTATTAATTTGCATGCTTTAATTTTTAATTATTTTTTTCGAATATATTTCGTGAAATATAATTAAATGATATATTTTTAATTTTGTAAAATTGAGTATTTTTTTAGTTTATAGGAAAAAAAAACTTTATTTTATAATAATAATTTTATATTATAAGAAAATAAAGAGAAATTAAATCCGTTTCTATTATTTAGAGAAGACAACAATAAAGTTGACCCATGCATTATCTTATAAAGTTTGGACATATCACATTTTGTGTTTGTTTCTATATACTTCAATAATCATGCATATATCTTTTAATATATGATAGACAATGCTACCACATCTCTATCAATTTCCATATAATTATTAATTTTATTTTAATATTTTAATCAAATTAATATAATATCAAATTTTATTATATGGTTTGGAGTTCATTTTAAAACGTGGTCGTGCTGGCATTTCAAACACTGGAACGACGTCGTTTGCCGAAACTTTATTTAATATCATATTTATAAGGGGCGTACGGATCCGAGCTCAAAAAGAACCGGGGGACCGAACCGGTTTTGGGGACACTTGTCTGTGAAGGACCGCTAGATCTATGATATAAACAGTTCGGTGATTTCACCAGAAATTCGGTTACTTTTCAACATCGTTCACGTGGACACGTTGCGCGAAAACATGGCGAGTGGGTAGTACTTTCCAAACTGTGCGCGTGAATTATTGATAGTTCGGAATAAGAATTTAATATTCTGACGTGGCAGAGGGGATGGTCCTAGGGGGATGTGGTGGTCAAGCGCTTTAAAGGTGGCCGAGGTGTCAGACCAGCGAGGGGTGGGCCATGTACCGACAGACGTGACACGTAAGCAAGGTAAAAAAAGGAAAATAGTTTTTTTTTAGTTAGTTAGCGACGGTTTCTATGGGAATCGCAGAAGTTATTAGTACGATGAACTGGAGTTCGAGGCCCAAAAATGGTAAAAAAATAATAAATGAAGATTTTTATCCCAATAATTCAATTTTTATTCTTAAATTAATTGGTTTTTTAGTTAATAATATTATTTTTTTATTTATTGTTGAACTGTTTTAGCTTAATTAAATTATAAACAAATTTGCGGGTGAAAATAAATTTGTCTATTTTGACAAGCAACAAATATTTGAAAATTCAATGATAATAATTTTTTCAATTAATTGATTCAATTATTTATGCATTTAATGCATTTAAATAATCGTATAATTTTTTTTTAATAAAATTAAATACTTTGAAATTTATTAGCGGCAGCTAAAATAAACACATTCAAATAAATACCTCACAATGCCACTTTATTTATTTTATTTTATTTTTATTTTTATCTATTTAAAATATTAGACGAGAAAAAATAAATGGTAAAACATTAAATTTTTTTGAGAAATATAATAAATAAGCGGGAAAAATTTTAGAGTTTCATTAAAAATATTTGATAGTAATCAGCCAATTTTTATAAGAATAACGTAACATGAATTTATATAATAAAATAAGCAATAAACGATAGAAAAATTATAAATTATTAAGCGCATACAAACATAAATGAAATAAAACAATTAATAAAAGCGTTTAACTATGTAAAACATCAAATCTAACAATAGTACAAAACACTAAGACAACAAAATCTAATCACTCATGTTTGCTGTTACAAACCTTAAACTCAACAACAACCACGAAACAAAGTAAAAGAAGTACAGAACATCGTTCTACTTAAATTTCTCGTCTGTGTTATAATATCCATGAACTCGAGCTTGAACATCTTTTTTTCTTGTTTTGGTAGTTTTTTCTTAGTTTCAATCGTACGTTCCCTAAAATAACAGGTAAAGTGATGAATTCATTAAACATTATGCAGCAGCATCGAAACATCAGAGACACTGTTCATAACATTTCGGAATGTGATTTATGTAACTAAAAAGATGCCGCTAATTAAACATAATTCATGCATGTATTTAATACGTTACTGATTTATTTTAAAGTAATGAATCTTTTGTGGGCATGTATTTCCTTCCATTCATGTAATTTACATCTACCTTTAAATTTTAAATATTCACAATTTACCTTTTTTTTTATTTTTAAATTTTTAATTTTAAAATAATAATAATAAAAAAAACGTTTTCTTGAAGGCGGGGGAATAGTACCGGGACTGCACGAGAAAATAAAAGAAAAAGAAAAAGAAAAAGAAATTACAAAAGTTTATAAGGGCGAGTATAAAAGGAGATGCTCCAACCCAGTTTTGCTTCCCATTCAATTCGCTCTCTTTCCTTCCCTTTCCTTTTCCCATTTCATAACCACTCGCATTTAACGCTCTTACTCAACACATAGCCACTTCGAAAATTTGCAGAGAGAAACAAAGATCAACAATGGCGATTTCTCTCAGACTACACTTTTCGATGGCTTCTTCATTGCTCTTTCTTCTTCTCCACATCCTCTTCGTTCATTCAAGGTAAATCGCGTCGATTCTGTACGAGTTCTGAATATAATCTCATCGCCGTTGGCCGCCGGTGTCTCGTTTGAGTGATTTTGATTGTTCTCATTTTTTTATTTCTTCACATTGTTGATAGTTTTGCTGGAGATGAGAGATTGCAGAGATTCAATTCTTCATCAATGGCGGACTGGTCAGTATCGGAACCGAAGCGTTTTTTTTCTTGCTTTTCCGTGGGAGGGAGGGGAGAGAGATCTATTCTGATCGTCTAACGCGTGATTTAGACCGTCAGATGTATCAAACGGCTCAGAGAAAGGGATTTTTTAGATCTGATCTGGAAAATCTGAGCCGTTTGTTCATTTTACCCTCTGTATTAGTTACTTTCTTTGACTCTTCATTTGATCAATTTGCACTTCAACATTCCACCCAAATTTTGGACTTTTTGGTCAATGGCTATTTTCAATTCCACGTGTACAAGTTTTTCCCCAAATTTTTAATCAAATTCCTCAAGAAAAGGAGTGGGAAAAAAAAAAAAAAAAGCAGGAAAGCTGAAAATATGAAATATTAAATCATTGGAGCAGCCTTCCACCGGCCAGGAGCTTAAAATTATTATTAATTTTTTTATGTTTTATTTATATGATTAAATGTTCCAATTCATTTAAATATATTTTTTTAATTGAAATTTTCAGGAATGTTAAGAACGAGCATGCTGTTGATAATCCAGAGGAAATTGCATCATTGGTCGATTCGTAAGATTCCCGTCTCTTTCCTCATTTATTTATGATCCCAAATGAAAAATTAATTATAATATATAGTGGAATTTAATAATAATAGAAAATGATTTATAAGTATTTATTATTGGTTTCATTATTTAGTTTTGGGTAGGATTTTATTAGTATTGAAAGTTATAATATGATTCGTGGGGGCCCAACCATCACGTTCTTTGCTACTGAAATTTCAATCTCTTTCACATATGCCCATGTGGCCAGATCCACCTGTCACGCTCATAATTTAATTCTTGTCTCTTCCCTTATCCAAAATTTGCAAAATAGATTTTTATTAACAGGGTAATATTGTCGGTCACATCGTACCCACATTTCCAATAATAGATTCTAACTCGAACATAATTCACTTAAATTTCTTATAAAATTTGGGATTTATCGAAAAAAATCATAAGGATATTTTGAATCTGGTTTTTTGATAATGGGTTGAATTTATTGTGGCAAATCATGCAGGCGGCAGAAGTATAGTAATGAGTAAATGAAACTACATTTTTCATTTAAAACACCCACACCGACAGACCAAATTTTTGCTCTGTTTCATCTTTTGCATTCAATTTTCGCAGCAAAATTGACAGCTTTTTTTTTGCAATAAATGACCCCAGTTTCCCGTAAGATCTGTATCCACCACCCATTGAATTATGTTGATGTGTAATGCTTGTGTGTTTACTAGTTAATCTTTAAGCTATATTTATGTTGGTGAAGTTTAATGATTATTAATTCATATGGGGTTCACAGATAAAGATTTAAGTTCATAGAAATAGTTGATGTAGTTATTGATTTATTAGCATTTGGAAATTTCTCAGGAGCATTCGCAACAGCACAGAGAGGAGGAATTTAGGGTTCTTCTCTTGTGGAACAGGAAACCCAATTGATGATTGTTGGCGATGCGACCCACGTTGGCAACTTCGCCGCAAGCACCTAGCAAATTGCGGCATTGGGTTCGGTCGCAACGCTGTCGGTGGCCGCGATGGGAGATATTATGTCGTTTCAGATCCTGGCGATGACGATCCTGTCAATCCCAGACCAGGAACCCTTCGCCATGCCGTGATTCAAGACAGGCCATTGTGGATTGTGTTCAAAAGAGATATGGTCATCACTCTAAAGCAAGAACTCATCATGAACAGCTTCAAAACAATCGATGGCCGTGGTGCTAATGTCCACATTGCTTATGGCGCTTGCATTACAATCCAATTCGTAACCAATGTCATTATTCATGGTCTGCATATTCATGACTGCAAGCCAACGGGTAACGCCATGGTTCGAAGCTCCCCTAGTCATTATGGATGGAGGACAATGGCGGATGGGGATGGGGTTTCTATTTTTGGGTCGAGTCATATTTGGATTGACCATAACTCTCTTTCTAGCTGTGCTGATGGGCTCATCGACGCTGTGATGGGATCAACTGCCATTACCATTTCTAACAATTACTTCACCCACCACAATGAGGTAAAGATTCTCCTCTTATCCGATGATCCAATGAACTTGGTTTGGGATTAACTGAGAATGTTGCATAACAGGTGATACTTTTGGGACACAGTGACTCATATGTAAGAGACAAGCAAATGCAAGTGACCATTGCTTATAACCATTTTGGTGAAGGTCTCATCCAAAGAATGCCAAGGTAGTGTCATTGCTCATTTATTAGATACGCAAAAAATGAAGGATGAGTACTCACGGAAAGCTGGAAAATTTCACTATTCATTCTGAATCCAAAGCTGAAAAAAATTAACTGTTTGGACCCAATCATTTAATGTTGCAGGTGTAGACATGGGTATTTCCATGTAGTAAACAATGACTACACTCATTGGGTAATGTATGCCATCGGTGGAAGTGCTGATCCCACCATTAATAGCCAAGGCAATAGATATCTTGCCCCCGCCAACCCTTTTGCCAAAGAGGTATCATTCCTCTCTCTAGATCTCAAACCTGTTTGAAACAGTAAAGAAATACAAATCAATAAAATGGTTATAACTCATAAGCAATGCCTGATTAGTTCTAATGGCTAATGTATGAAGGTCACTAAGAGAGTTGATACGTGGAATGGTGAATGGAAGCACTGGAATTGGAGATCAGAGGGAGATCTTTTGCTAAATGGAGCCTATTTCACTCCATCAGGAGCTGGTGCAGCAGCCAGTTATGCAAGAGCTTCAAGCTTAGGAGCCAAATCCTCTTCCTTGGTGGGCACCATTACTTCATCTGCAGGTGCCCTTTCTTGTCGCAGGGGATACCGTTGTTAATTTCAAGTCACAGTTAAAGTAAGATATATAAAAAACGAAGAAGAAGAAAGAATCTAAACACTTAAAAGGAAGAAAAAGAAAATTTACTCATTTTTTCTTCCCTATTATTGTTGTAGTTATAGCATTATCTCAATGAGTTTGAGCCATCCCTTCTGTTTACAACCGCCCCACCACCACCACCACCACCGCCACCGCCACCTTGTACTTGTCCCAATCAAGAATTGGAAACTGTACATTTTTCTTCGGTTACATGTTAATGCCAAATGTTGTAATATCCATATCATTCTATCTTCTCTCATTGGTTCTATAACCTGAATCAGGAAATGTTATGAGCTAAAGTGATAGACTTGTCCTTACTCCACATCAAGAACCTTTCTCAAAGCAAACTTTTAAAAAACTCAACAAAAAACAGCATAAAATCTTCAAACTAAACCTGAAATGAAGATTTTCCCTCAATAATTCATGAATAGATGATAAAAGCTGTATTATGGACACATAGTGTTAGAGAGGGCCTATAGTGTCATGTGTCCGTTTCTTATACCTACAAAACAAAGCCATTCTTCTTGCCAACTAGTTTGTTTAAACCACCCATGTTGCAATTATGAGCTTTACTTGAGCTGTCATTTTTTGCCCATGTGAACTTAGAAGAGGCACTGAACTATAGCTGTACCATGGCCTCATCATTCTGTATAATGAATGAAAGGAAAGGAATCAGGAAGATAAGATATTTTGCAACCTAATAAGTTGTGTAAGTTATCTAATCATCACCTTTAAATACTTTATAATCCATTACAGGACAAAGTAGCTTGGAATAATATTAATATATGCAATAGATGGCATATTTTCTTCTCTAGGAGTGCAAGTTTAGTTCTTGGATGGTGTATATAGGAAGTCTAAGATTGAGAGCCTCAAAGTAAGGCTTCACATGAGCTACAGAAACACAACTACTTGTTAAGCTTTATTACAAGGGAGATTCTGTCTTGCAACTATGATTGAGCCTTTACTCAAATATGCCAATGACATTGATTGGGAAAGATAACTTACAAGCTCACATGCCTTCTAGAGGGCTGTGTCCACACTGAGCAACTCCTAACTCGCCTCTTGTACCTATTTTGTCTTAATGCTAGTGGCATTACAGAAGAGGGTCCCTCGTCCCTACTTCATGCAAAACTTCAGTGTGAGATCCCACATCGATTGGAGAGGGGAACAAGTGCCAGCGAGGACGCTGGTTGGGGTGGATTGTGAGATCCACATCGATTGGAAAGGGGAACGAAGCATTCTTTATAAGGGTGTAGAAACCTCTCTCTAACAGACGAGTTTTAGAAACCTTGAGGGGAAGCCTGAAAGGGAAAGACCGAAAAGGACAATATCTACTAGCAGTGGGTTTGGGGTGTTACACTCAGATTCTTGCCTATGGACACAGTTATGATATAGAGCTAACTCGTACTTCAAATAACAAGGCTACAACTACGGCAAAAGAACCTTCTTTGGAACAGATTTACAACAAGGGATAGCTTCATCATGAATCAAAGATGCATAGGAACAGCACATATAGACTTCAGAAACTGTATTGAAGATAAATCTAAATCTTCAGTAAGCATATCATTGGATAGAGTTCAAACATCTAAATAGTTACAAACATTTGATATCTGGATCATTGCCTCAGCAGATACAATTGGCCATGGTGCATGACCCAGAAAACTATAGCTTTGCATCTTAATCATACAGAGGGCAGTGCATTCGATATACTCGTACACCTCAAATTCATGGTATTTACAACCTTCAGTAGAATAAAATACCAGCACATAACTACTCTTGCACGGTCAAGCGACCTCAAAAATGTATACAGCCTACAAAGCTGAAAATCGTTTCGATTTTGAAGTAATTTATGGGGAATGGCTTACCGCAAGTAACACTATTTGTACTTCTCCATTATTTTTCTGGCTTCTTCAAGAGTCTCCTCTGTGGAGGCTGTGGAGGAGGCAGAGCCTCCACCTCCCCTTGGCCCTTCATCTTTATTCAAAGCTATAAAGATGAAATAAATTGCTCCCACCATAGCCTGCATCCATACAAGTCTTTGTTCAGTAAGCTTGTGCTAGATATCGTCCAATACAATAGTTATAGAACAAGTGGACCGTGAGGATGTAATATACCAGCACAAATGCGGCTGTAGATAGGACTGACTTGAGCAAAAAGAGTCCAATAGATAATGCAGCTATTGCAACAGATATCCTTGCTACTGGCCTTGGTACAGAGCCCTGAAAACAAGGCCACAAACACACAATTAGATCCTTTTCTTCTTGGCGTTGAAAACCCATCCCCATTTGATATTGAATGAACTCAAAGTTTAGTTCTAAAAGGGGAAGATTTTAGAGGAACTCACAGGCACCAGCTCTGTTCCTGCCTCAATCCCATCCTTTCCAACCTTCCAAACTGTCTGAAAAACTGTTCATATAATTTGCCAAGAAAATTAAGACTTCACCATGTCATTGTAAAGCAAAACAATGAGGTACAAAAATTAATGGTCCTAGTCTACCGTTAACAGATATTGACTGTTTTGATCCGTTACGTATTGCCGTCAGCCTCATGGTTTTAAAACGCGTCTACTAGGGAGAGGTTTCCACACTCTTAATAGGAATGTTTGTTCCCCTCTCCAACCGATGTGGAATCTCACAATCCACCCTCCTTGGAGGCCAAGCGTCCTTGCTGGCACACTATCCGGTGACTGGCTCTGATACCAATTTGTAACAGTCTAATCCCACCATTAGTAGATATTGTCCGTTTTGGTCCATTACATATTGCCGTCAGCCTCACGGGTTTAAAATGTGTCTAGTAGAGAGAGGTTTCCACACCCTTAATAGGAATGTTTCGTTCCCCTCTACAACTAATGTGGAATCTCACAATCCACCCTCCTTGGGGGCCAACGTCCTTGCTGGCATACCGCCCAGTGACTGACTCTGATACCATTTATAACAGCCTAAGCCCACCACTAGCAATTATTGTCTGCATTGACCCATTACGTATCACTGTCAGCCTCACGATTTTAAAACACGTCTACTAGGGAGAGGTTTCTACACCCTTATACGATTTTAAAAACGTTTCTTTCCCCTCTCCAACCAACGTGGGATCTCAAAGAATTTTTCTTTCAAGTTCAGATCCTTTAGGTAGCAACTCAACCACTTCATTTCCAGCTCGCTTAACCAGTTAACAAAATGATTACCAAATATGTTTGGGTTTCTTTTTTCAATAATCAAAGATGAAATTAGAAACACTAACCAAACAAAGCTTGTTAAATCATGTCCATATGACCTCTAAATTACTCTAAATTATCAAATTACAGATTTGAATTCTAAATATTCAGATGTATAAAACCATAAACTAACCTCTCAAGAAATTGTTCTGCGCAGCATATACAACAGGGAAAGAATCAGAGCCTCGAGTTCTAAGCTTCCCAATTCGTGAATTCCAGAGGAAAGGTTGTTTTCGGAGCTTCAACGAATTCAAAGGAAGAAACTGCGAATGGGCGAAAATGGTTGGGTTTCTATGGCGTTCTAATGGGTGCGATGAAATTGAAGGTAAATTGTGAAATAGACACGAAGAAGCCATTTGAATAAATCAGATACACTGAATCGATGGCGAAATTGGAGAGATGAACGAAGCAGGTGAGGCTTCGCGCGATGGACAAAGAACAACACGAATTTTCTCAGCCTCATAAAGGAAGATAGGGCCCACGCCGACGCCATGTTTGGGTTTTGGAGGCGTTTTTTGGGCCTCATCTTTGAAGGGCTGAGCCCAAATAACTTGAGAGTTAATACTCTCATGAGGTTCATGCCACTCATGATTTGAATCACGATGGATGGTATGTCACAGCAATAACTCAATCGGCTTGCTCATTCAATTTCCTCCAACAGTTCACCGTCTCCTTTTGTTCTTTAAAAAGCCACCAATTAGATCAATTTTCCGTAAGGTGGCATTGAAAATGGCGAATGAGCTGATTTTGGTTATGGCTATGGCTATGGTTATGGTTGCATTTGCAGGCTGTGTTACTGCAAGAACTGCCCCAAATGATGGGGCGAAAAGCGTCAGTGACCAAAAAAACTTCGTCAACTATGGTGGGGTTGGTGGCTTTTCTGGCATTGGTGACAGTGGACTCCCCTTTGGAGGGGCTGGGGGCGTTGTCGGGTTCGGCGGTGGCAGTGGCATTGGCGGTGGCATTGGTGGACTCGGAGGGGGTGGTGGTTTAGGTGGGCTGGGCGGTGGCATTGGCGGACATGGAGGAGGTGGTGGCTTAGGCGGGCTCGGTGGTGGCATTGGTGGATACGGTGGGGGTGGTGGCTTAGGCGGGCTCGGCGGTGGCATTGGTGGATATGGTGGGGGCGGTATCGGAATTGGAGTTGGCGGAAGATTTGTTAAGATCCCTTAAGTAAACTTAGAGTTTTATAAACTTAGCGTGTTTAAATGTACTTGGTAATGTTTGGAGTCCTTTTTAAGTGGTGATTAGAGATTTAAATCTACGATCTTTTCATCGAGTTCGTTTAGTATTAGAAGAAAAACAATAACACGAAAGTGTTTGTTTCGTCATCTTATATACTATTTTATTAGTCAAGGATGTGTGAAGCATATTTGGTGATACCCTTTTAGGAATTTTGTTACAATTTTATTAAATTCCTATTTTGCCCTTTCGTGTTTCTTGATGGGACACAACTCTTCGAGTTGAGGCGCTCGTTCAGAGAAGTTCGTACAATAAAAATGGTTTCTAAACCCTTAGGATTTGATCCCTTTAAGTTTAACTATCCAATAACATACAAAATATATTTAAAAATTAAAAATTTAAATTAAATAGGCATAATTTTTAATAGTTAATGTTCATATTATCTATTTCATAACTCTTTAATAACACGTTATATGTTGACAAAATAAAATAAAAAAAAAAAAAACCGTTCTTGATTATAATTAATTATATTTAAGTTTATTAAATATATATGGAGTTATTAATGGTGAAAATAGCTAATGGTTTCTTCATCTCTACAATATAAATAAGAAAATTGAGTTCATAAAGTTACTCAAAAAGTAGTAGAAATGGCAACTATCAGATCTTGTTTGGCTTTACTTTTGGTGTTGGCGTTCGTAATGTCTGAATCGTGCTTTGCATATCGCTTTGATGCTTGGAGGATACGAGTATTTAACGACATGAGCCATGGAGAAACGTTGAAGATTCATTGCAAATCTAAAGACGACGATTTGGGGCGACAAACACTTAAAGTTGGAAACAACATCAAATGGGAATTTCGAGAGAATGTATGGTTGACCACATTGTTTTGGTGCAACATATACAGCCCACATGGTCATGCTGCTTTAGAAGTATTCAATTCTCGTGATCCTGTACTATACTTTCGGTGCCACGGGTTTGTGTGCATTTGGTCGATAAGGGATGATGGAATCTATGTGAGAAATAGTTCTCAGAATAACAACTATGAGTTGATAGCTAAATGGGAGCGTGGTCGGTAGAATTTTCTTCGAACTATTTAAAAAAAAATATATAAATAATTACTGCTTGAGTTTATGTCATTCATAGCATAGCTCAATCCGTCAACAATAAATAAAATTTTACTTTTGTAGAAATGGTGGTTGACAAGTCTTATAATGAATGGTTCATTTCTCGTTCTTCTCTACCATTTGTAACAATCTAAGCCTACCCTGTGAGTTTGGGCTATTAAAAGTTTTGGTTCTTACAAATGATATTAAAGTCAGACACAGACGATGTATTAGCGAGGACAAAACATTTCTTATAAGGATATAAAAACCTTTATTTAAACAATGGTTTTAAAACCGTGAGGCTGACGTAATACCTAACATGTGTCAAAACAGACTATCTGCTAGTGATGTGTTTGAGCTATTATAGACGTTCTTCTATTTTTACGTGTTAAAATATGTGGGGTGTAAGGCTTGAACCTTCGGCTACACCTTTTAAATTTTGATTTTGTTTTGATTGTCTCATTCATGTCTATTTTTTTCGAGTTTAATGTGAATAAAAAATGAAAAATATCACTAAAAGAACCATTTATAACTCTGTCTTAATGTGCTCGACTGTGCAAATTAAGGAGAAAATATAAAACATGTAAGAGTCTAATTTGTGTTTTCCTTTATTGTTTAATGAAAAATAACTGTTTTTCATCTCCATAAAAATAGTAAATTAAAAAGAATTTAGTCTTTTTGCATGGATATTAACCTTAAATTACCTTCCTGAACAGAATTAAGAGCTTGTTAGACACTAATTTTTTTTTTTTTTAGCTATATAATGAACCAAAACCCAAATGGTTAAGCATCAACAAAAGAACCTCGAGTATCTAAAGAAAAAATGAAGCCTCTAATCCGCTTTTGTTTTATCTTATTGTTTGCTCTGGAATCGAGCATTATTATTAACATATGTTTTGCAGGATCCAAGATACAAACTGCAGAGAGCAAATGGCAAAAGGTTGGAAGCAGATGGAAAGTGACTATTTACAATTTTCAAACAAACTCAGTTTTGAATGTTCATTGCAAGTCAAAAGACGATGATTTGGGTGCACGCGTTTTGGAGAAGAAAGCCAATTTCGACTGGAGCTTCAAAATGAACTTTTGGCGAACGACTTTATTTTGGTGCAACTTTAATGGTGCGAATGGACACGCTTCCTTTGATGTTTTTTGGCCGGAGAAAAGCTCTTGGCTTTCTGAACGATGTGACTATAAAAACTGCATTTGGGGAGCTTTTGATAGTGGACTTTACTTGCATAATATTCCTCTCCAGAAGTATGAATTGATACACCATTGGAAAAAATGAAGTAAAATCTCCGTTCCTCATTTTTCTCCCACAAAATCACATTTTTCTTTCCTTTTATGTTTGCTTGCTTACACCGGTAGCAATTCAATAGAGTTGTTGCGTGTCTTTGTAGACCTAAGATGTTGTATTTTTTTAAGTTTAATAAAAAGTGGGAGGAACCTTTTGAGATTTTAGAGTTCTTTTGATAATTTGGCTGGGTTTCAAGTTTCTACTCGTAACGACCCATGTCCGAGATTCGGAATTTGGATTTGGCACTTAATGGTCCTAGCATTTCTACGACGATATGGTCATGTTACTTACTTATCGCTTTTAAGAGTGAAAATTATCTCCACATACCAACATGAGTCATTCCAGCATGTCTTTTTCTCACTCACATGTTTGCTACAAACATTCTCAACAGATCTCCCAACATAAAATTGCTCAAAACAAAACACATTTAATCTCGAAGTTCTTGTGATTAAACCACCAAAAAGAAAAGTGCACCTTGCTGGTATAGGTAGTAAGTGTCAATTATTTTTAAGCCCTTCTTAGTCATCTACACTATGGATCACTTTCATTTGGATGTAATCTTGGTCTGTTCATATACTCTTTTTTACTCGGGTATCACTCAACTCAAAACCCTTTTATTATTGAGGAATATTTGTAGTTTTAAATCGGAAATGGTAACAATTTAGGACGAAAAGAAAATATGTATAATTATTAGAACCGGGAAGGTTAGGATCATAAAACGGATATATGCAAAGATCTTAGGTCAATTTTCCTTAAAAAAAAAAAAATGATTGCAACTTCGCACAACATTTTTTTCCATAAAAAATATTGTTAAAGATTACATGTGATGCTAAAAAAAAAAACATGTTCTGTCCCAAAAATGTCATCTTATGCTCACAATCTCTTGCAATAATTTCAAATTTGTTTGGGAATTAGCGACATTTCAAACTGTATTAAAGGAGGATTATTATTATCATGCTCGAATACAGAGTTAAAGTAGGATGCTACGGTGTTGGAAAATTTAAAACATGCTCACAAAGTATTATTCTTCCAATAAATAAATTAATCGAGAAAATATTAACATTGATATTGAAAACTCTCAAATTTTGTTTTCAACCATTCATGAGTAGTTACTCATTCTATCATTTATAATTTCGTTAATCATACTAAGACATCTAAACATACAATCTCATGCTCAGACTAAAACATAGGTTTGTCGAACAATTTTATTATATCGATTTAATTCGATAAAAAAAAGAGAGTTTAATTCATGGTTCAATGTCCTAAACATGTTTATCTTAACCGCTTAATCTTAGCATTTCGGCAATAAGAATTGATATTTATAATTATGCAATACATATAGATACCAACCTCAAAACATTCACGGTATTTAGTCTTTTGCATGAATATTAACCTTAAATTACCTTCTCGAGTAAGATTAAGAGCTTGTTCGACACCAAGTCTTTTTGGCTATATAATGAACCAAAACCCAAATGGTTAAGCATTAACAAAAGAGTCTCGAGTATCTACAGAAAAAATGAAGCCTCTAATCCGTTTATGTTATATCTTATTGTTTGCTTTGGAATCAAGCATTATTATTGATGCATGTTTTGCAGGAACCAAGATACAAGGGGTAGGGAGCAAATGGCAAGATGTAGGGAGCGAATGGAAAGTGACTATTTACAATTATCAAAGGAACTCGGTTTTAAATGTTCATTGCAAGTCAAAAGACGACGATTTGGGCGCGCGCGTTTTGGAGAAGGAAGCCCACTTCGACTGGAGTTTCAAAATAAACTTTTGGCAAACGACTTTGTTTTGGTGCAACTTTAATAGTGTGAACGGACATAATTCATTTGAGGTTTTTTGGCTTTCTGAACGATGTGACTATTCGAATTGCATTTGGGCAGTTTTTTATGATGAATTTTACTTGAAAAATGTTCCTTTCAAGAAGTTTGAATTGGTACACCTTTGAAAAAAATGAAGTAAAATCTCTGTCTCATTTTGCTCGGTGTAACAATTCAATAGAGTTGTGCGGGTCCTTGTAGACCTAAGATGTTGTATTTTTTAAGTCTAATGAAAGTACGAAGAATCTTTTGGAATTTTAAAGTTCTTTTGATGCTGATAATTTTGTTGGGTTTCAAGTTTCTACTTGCAACGATCCATATCCAAGATTCGAAATCTGGATTTGGCACTTAATTCTCGCTTTCCAAGAGTGAAAACTATCTCCACAGACCAACTCGAGTTTGGACTATTATAGATCTTCTTCTATTTTTGCGTGTTAAATTATGTGGGTCGTAAGGTTTTAACCTTCGGCTACACCTTTTAAATTTTGATTTTGTTTTGGTTGTCTCATTCTTTTTAATCATGTCTATATTTCTTCGAGTTTAATGTGATAAAAAATGTAAGGAGTCTAATTTGTGTTTTTCTTTATTGTTTAATGAAAAATAAATGTTTTTCCATCTTTATAAAAATAGCAAATTAAAAAGAATTTAGTTTATATTAACCTTAAATTACTTTCCCAAACCGGATTAAGAGTTGGTTAGACACTAAGTTTTTGTTGACTATATAATGAACCAAAACCCAAATAATTAAGCATCAACAAAAGAGCCTTTGATATCTAAAGAATAAAATGAAGCCTCTAACCCGCTTTTGTTTTATTTTATTGTTTGCTTTGGAATCCAGCATTATTATTAACACATGTTTTGCAGGATCCAAGATACCAGTCGTAGAGAGTAAACGGCAAAAGGCAGGAAGCAGATGGAAAGTGACTATTTACAATTTTCAAACAAACTCAGATTTAAATGTTCATTGCAAGTCAAAAGACGATGATTTGGGTGAACGAGTTTTGGAGAAGAAGGCCAATTTCGACTG